GTTAAGGGTTCAGGGTTTTAGGGTGTTAGGGTTGTAGGTTTTCAGGGTTTGGGGTCTTAGGGTTCAGGGTTGTAGGTGTTAAGGGTTCAGGGTTTTAGGGTGTTGGGGATCTAGGGTCTTAAGAGTTTAGGGCGTTAGGTGTTTTGGGGTGTTAAGGGTTTATGGTGCTAGGGCATTAATTGGGGGGTTTTGGGGCTTGTAGGGTGTTAGGGTGCTATAGGGTCTCGGGCTTCGGGTCCCACAAGCCATAGAGCTCTGCAACCTCAGCCCGCCTGGGCACCCAAGATCCCAAACTCTACACCCTCAGCCTCGAAAAGCTGACACCCCAATGAGCCACAAATCCCGAAGCTAAGACCCCAAGCCCTGGAAACCTGAACCCTGAACCTTAAACCCCTGACCCCTGACCCCTAACCCCTAAACCCTAAACCCTAAACCCTAAACCCTAAACCCTCCTAAACCCACCCAGAAAAAAACCCGAAACCCTTCCTACTCCAGGTCCTGCGGCTGCAGCAGCCGCCACGCGCGCCTCGGCTGCCGCGGCCGCCGCAGCAGCAAACTTGGCTTGCAGGGTGTAGGGCTTAGGTTGTTATGTACGGGGCTTCGGGTTTAGGGTTTAGGGTTTAGGGTTTAGGGTTTAGGTTTTAGGGTTTAGGGTTTAGGGTTTAGGGTTTAGGGTTTAGGGTTTAGGGTTTAGGGTTTAGGGTTTAGGGTTTAGGGTTTTAGTGTTTAGGGTTTAGGGTTTAGGGTTTAGGGTTTAGGGTTTAGGGTTTAGGGTTTAGGGTTTAGGGTTTAGGGTTTAGGGTTTAGGGTTTAGGGTTTAGGGTTTAGGGTTTAGGGTTTAGGGTTTAGGGTTTAGGGTTCAGGTTTTAGGGTTTAGGGCGGGGACGGGGGGGGGGCATTACTGGGTACGATTAGAAGTTGCAGGGTAGTACAGCTATTATGAGGGGGTATGATTGGGTAGTCAGGGTACTGTGAGGTGCTGTCGGGCATGGAAGGCTCTTTAAAGGGTTCGATGGTGCGCGGTTAATTCAGAAGCTTTAGCTGAGACACCTGAGACGGGAGTCGATGACTCCAGGCAAATCGATCCGAGGACCGTGCCCCCTGCTGCCGTACCCTCAACCTGAATCCCAAAAACCCTAACCCTAAACCCTAAACCCTAAACCCTAACCCAAAACCCTAAACCCTAACCCTAAACCCTAAACCCCAAACCCTCAACCTCCTACACTTCAAAAGCTCCCTTCTTCAGAGGCTCCGGCGGCCTTTGCAACCTGAGCTGCCTCGATTGCAGGCCGGCCGCAGCGCTCGGCGCCTCTGAAGAGGGCTTTCGTTGGGGGTTTAGGGTTTAGGGTTTAGGGTTTAGGGTTTAGGGTTTAGGGTTTAGGGTTTAGGGTTTAGGGTTTAGGGTTTAGGGTTTAGGGTTTAGGGTTTGAGGGTTTGTAGGACCCAGAGACTCCAAAACCCCTTGATCAAGGAATAGCCCTTAAATCATAACAGGAACCCAAATACGATTTAAGGTATATTCCTTAATCAAGGGGTTTAGTCTGTAGGGTTTTTGGGTAGTTTGGGGTGCTTTGAGGGGTTCTGGGTTAGGGTTTAAAAGTACAGCTTGGCGCCCCTTGACTTCGGGCCTGCGGGCCTGCGGGTGCCAGAGCCTAGGGGGTCGGGCGTAGGGGCTTTGCGGTTTAGGGTTTAGGGTTTAAGGTTAAGGGTTTAGGGTTTAGGGTGTACGATTTGTTATGGATAGGAGTGGGCTAGAAAAAGCCACTAAGACCCAAGAGCACGATTTGTTCTTGTTCTGGATAAGAGCGGCTTAGCAAGAGCTACCAAGACCCGGGAGTACGACTTGTTACGGATAAGAGTGGAAAAATCCACCCAGACCCGGGAGTAACCCTGTAAACTCTATAAATTGGAGAAAAAAAGTGCCCATGAACCGCCAAGTAGAGCGAGGGCATGTTTTGCGGCTCAGGGTTTGAAAACTTTCTTTAGGGTTTTTAAGGGCTTAGAAATTATGGTAAAATCTTTCAAATCATCGGACCTACGTTGTTCGGCGTAACATATTGAACTCATGCAGCGCGGCAGCTGCTGCTTGCTGTTTAATCGCTACGTTGCACCCATCCGTCTGGGAACGTGCATGCAAAACCTCACCAAACCCTCCAACCCCAAGGGAACAGACGAGCGTGCAGCGGACTTTGGCCAGTCGAGACGCAACTGTAAACGAGCTGGTACAGCGTGCAAGATAGCCACGCACCCACGGCGCCACCACTTTTGCAGTAGTCCGGCAGCGTCAACGGCTGTCTTCGCAGCAGACTTTATGCCTTGCTCACACGTCGGCGCTCGCTTCGAAAGGAACCAAGGCGCGTTCGTGCCTGCGTCCCCAAGAAAGTCTTTCGAACTGGCCGGGAAGCAGCTCGCATCTTTCAAGACCTGAGATGGTATCATGGTGGTCGATAGCCACCGGCAGAACTCCACAGCTGCTCCGGCTGCACTTTGCAACAATGGCATGGTCAGCCAGATGCAATCAGTTCGACTGGTATTGTTGCTACTTGTTATTCTTATCAATACAAATACTTTGTTGCTCAAGAACACTAGTAGGAAGTAAACGCTCAGTAACATTTTGTTTATCTTTCTAATCAATCAAAAAACCACACAGGGTTATGGAGAGACATGTTCGGGATCTGCGGCTACCTTCAGCTTCATCGAGGAGTGCGTATAGAATGATGTGGAACAGCTTAGGACGTGGAGCTTCAGGTTCAGGGAGGTTGCCTATGGCCTGCCTTTCAAAAGAACACCCGAAGCACCCGAGCACGGGAACCTTGGCCCCTGCCTCAAGCTCTCACACCCAGCCCACGCAAACTCCAAACGTCGAACTCCGAACACGGTTTCTTTTTTGTTGTTTCTTTGAAGAAGGGGGGGGGGGGCAAAGCCCTTTCGGCTGCAAAACCGCGGGATGCTCCAAACCCACCCCCCCTCCCCGCCCCCCGCCCCCCTAAACCCTATGCGGAGATGGTACTTGTGTTTCAAGGAAGCGGTAAAAGGGTCAATGCACCCGTTAACATGTTGGCTCAAGGATGGCCAGCCCGTCCGTAGAAAAAAGTTCGTACCTGGGAGTGAGGGTTGGGTTAGTGCCCCTCTACCTTTGTAAGGGCGGCCCTTCCTTTGACCCGGTTTCCCTGAGGTGGTTTTGTGGTTTCTTACTGGTTAGTCTGGGGAACATATTTAGGCGACTGTTGAGGGTTGATAGCTTCCTTTGTCCCCTTTCGGTTGCCCCCGTAGGTTATGAGCCCAAGTTAGGCTCCCTGCGGTTCGTGTTTGGGCTTCAGGGTTTCAACCTGAATCTCCTTTCGGAGCAATGGCTTCGACCTGGCTGGCAGAGGCGGAGTCGTCAGTCCCCAATGTGGGCAGTGGCGTGTTGGCTGGCGATGAGCAGTCTGCAGCTGGACAAAATGTGACTCCCAACGCGGAGGTTCCAACTGATGCTGGCGTGGCGAGGAAAAGCCCGCACTGGAAGGACTGGAAGGCCATTGGAGTGATGGGAGGCAAAGAGCCTCAAGCTGCTGAGATTCCGATCGTCGCCTGCGATGGGTCTACTTGGGAGCGTCACTATCATGAGGACGGGAGAGAGTATTACTACTGCCTGGACACAGGAATAACCCAATGCGTGTCACCTGCAGAGACTGAAGTGGACGCAGACAACGAGGCATCTGGCGGTCGGACTGGCAATGTTCCAGTGGGAAATGAGCCGACGCTGGGCACTACTCCGACCTCGCCGTCTTCTGAGTCTTTCAGGGCGCAGCAGGGTAGTGTAGTTAGCGTAGATTGTGGTAGGGAAGAACAGAATGCCTCTACCATTGGGGACACTGGTTCTAGGGGTTGTGAAGGAGGAAACAAAGAATCCTTGGAGTTCCCTGAAGCGACGGAAGATTCTGGGTCGCAGCTGGCTGTTGAAAACCTGCATCAGGAGGACAAAAAATCTGGATTCCTGAGGGTGATGCGGCTGAGGCAATGAGTGTCTTGGAAGATAAGGTCGCGGATCAAGTTCTCGATGCGGCCATGGTGGACGTTTTGTGTGAAGCAAAGACTGAGGGTTAACTGGGACGCTGCGATGTGGAGGATGACTCTGGAACGCTTGTCGTGGAGTCTGCCAAGGTCGCTGAAAGCGAGTCTGTGCTCTTGAAGAAAAGGACTCCTCTGAAAGGGATGTTCGCACTGAGGTTTTGCCCAACGTGGTGGTTGAGGCAAAGTCCTGGAGCGCCAATGAGGCACGGGCCAATGTGCCTGAAGTAACCTGAAGCACTTATGAGATGCGGGTTGGAAAAAGACTCCGCAACTGACTGCAACAATGGAGCGCAGAGGGTTGAGGTCACCAGCGACGGAGACGTGCAGGCGGACGCGCCGGCCCAGTCTGAAGTTGGTGGCGAGGAGCAAAACAGTGAGAATCGCACCGGAGCCAAAGAGGCAGCTGTGATTCAAAATGATGGCGGTGTTTCTTCATCGGCAACCGCGTAGCCAGAGGAGAAGCAAAATTTAGTCCACGCCGGAGCCAAAGAGGCAGCTGTGGAAAAGCCTCCTGGAAAAGATGATGGTTTGGAGGAACCTGCAACAGAAGAAAGCATGCCTGTTGTGGAAGAAAACCTGGAAGCCTCCAAAGCGGAGAGTACTTCCAAAGAAGGACCACCAATAGAGGTTGATCTGGAAGTCGACACCGGAACAACTGTTGTGGCAAAAGTGGTTCAATTTGTGGAAGATGATTCTGGACCTGGAGATCACGGGCGTGGAGGTGGTGATCCAGCAGAACTCGTGAAAGTGCAGGGGAATCAGGATGAGGGTCAAACTGGAACACGAGGGCTACCTGGAGCTGAAGACGCTAAGCCAACCCCTGGTGATCAAGTAGAAGAACCGTCCAATGAGGCGAGCCCTGTTCCAAAGGCAATTGTTGTATACCTGGGGATACTGTTGGCGGAGAAGTGTGTTGCATAGATGCCGACGGCGCGTGGCTGGATATGGGTGATATTCGGCGCGTAATCCCAGCGGACAGTGCGATGAAACAGCAGTTTCAATTTGGTGACCCTGTGTATCAGGTTACTGTTGTTAAGGTGGAAGAGGACGGCACCTTGGTCTTGCAAGCGGATGGCTTGGAGCTAGAAGACGATAACGCAGCTCCAGGTGGGTCACGAAAATGGAAACGTGAACCTCGAGGCCAATGGAGTGGGTAGTCCTGGTACTCTGATCAGTGGTATCAAGGGCACAGTGGTCAACGGGACCAAAAGGGCCAAAGTGGTTCTTCAACTTGGCACTGCTATGGCTGGTCTCCAGGTGATTGGATAGAAGATAACCAGTGCGAAGAAGGCATAGCCAAGCAGTTTTATGGTGAGAAGATTCGTTCCATCCTCCTGAGTTCGCAAGCTCCTTCTGATTACGTCGGCAAGATCGTGGGCATGATCTTAGATGGGCACGACGTAGAGCAACTGAAACATTTGGTTCGAGACCCGAATGAGCTCAAGCATCTGGGAAAGGCGGCGTATGAAATTCTGTGCAAGGACAAGTGGCAGCCACAAGGTGTCGAATCTTGGCCTAAGGCTGAACATCCTCGGAAATTATATGAAGAGGATTTGGTTTCGGTGGTGCTTCGTGCAACGAAGTACAACGTTGAAACAGCTTCTCGTCTGTCAAGGAGATACTGGACACCAAGGGGGGCAGCAAGATTGGCGTCACTGGTGGGAGAATACAAAGCCTTTTACGGTGGAAGTTGCTGCGCCTTTCAAGAGCTCATGGAATCGGAGGGAAGGAACGTCGCAGAATATTTGGACCTAGATCAGGTTCGAGCGGTTCATGGAGGACCACAGTCCAGCTACCACAAGTGCAAGTTCTGGGAAAAAGGGAACTGCCGTAATGGTGATCATTGCAGGTTTGAACATCGTCTATGTGGTCAAGACTGGATCAATCCCTCAAGTTCATCGTCAGAGGTTCGTCGCAAGGATCCTCTTCCTGTGTCTGACAAACAACAGGATGCGCAGAATGATGGGGACATAGGTGAGCCACCAACTGACGAAGGTGACGTTGATGAGGACCAGCAAGCGCGTGAAGATGCAGCGTTTCAGGAACAGCATCAGTACGGCAAAGGGACCGGCAAAGGTTCCACAAAAGGATCGTTTGCGGGGAGGCGGTGCTGGCAACACCGAACGTTAGCTGGATGTCCCTATGGTGACAGACGTATGTTTGTTCATGATTCAGAGGTCAAAGCCGATGTGCAGTGGGAGCCTGGAAGGCGTTTGGACGATGATACCAGACAACAGCTCCGAGAGGCTGGGTTGAACAAAATGTGTTTCCATTACCAGTTGTACCATTCCTGCAAACACGGAGCAGATTGTGGCTTTAGTCACGTGAAGCTACCTGAAGACAAACGCAAGCTGTTGCGAGATCTTGTGTATGGGTCCCATCACCGGAGGGATATGTTAGTACAAGGCGGTGAACTTCCAGGAAAACTGAAACCTCAAAATTCGAACATTGACGGTCCTACGAGTGGATCATCTGGCGCCCCCCGGGGGGCTACTTCCTCATCAGCTCTCAAAGGGAGGTTAAGTCTTCGTTTCAGCAGACTGCGGGCGGACCAGGTGGATGATGGAAACCCTTTCGATTGGGTTACTCACCGAGCAGACTGACGGGTGTCATATCGCAGTGTCGTTGCCAGTTGACATGGCGGTTGACGAATCCTGCCTCTCACGCGACATGCGCGCGAGCATTGGTGACCGAGTACGAGCTCAGCGCAGGGGCTTCTCGTCTGCACTGGCCTTATATATTCTAGGTGTGGGGTTTAGGTATCAGACTTTACGGTTTTAAACCGTAAATTAAGGGTTTGAGGGTTTAGGCTGGGAGCTGTGCTTCTAGGTCCAGCCACTTGTATGGTTTTATGTGGGCTTCGGGTTTGGATGCGTTTTAGGGTTTAGGCTTTAGGGTTTAGGGTTGGTTAAGGGTTTAGGGTTTTACTTCTGCACTGAGATCGTCCGGGCGCCGCTGAATCCCCCGCCACCTGCGCCGGGCGCAAAGGCAGCAGGGCCGGCATCGACGGCAAACGGAGGCGCAAAGGCAGCAGTGCCGGCAGCTGCGCTGGCATCGACGGAGACAGGAGGCGAACATTTGGGGGTCACTTTCCGTGGCTGGGTTCAGGGTTTTGGGTTTCTTGTTTTTGTGTTATGCCTTTTGTCAGGACCCAAGGCTGGAGGTCCAAAGGCACGCGCAGGGCCTGGCATGGCACAGGGTAGCAGCGACAAGGGCGTGGGCAAGGGTGCCTGCATCAGGACTGATTATTTGTTTTCCTGTCAGTCTTTACGGTTCAGGGCAGGCCCTGTAGCAGAAAACCCACTAAGCTGTTCGCACATTTTGACGTCGGTCGCTAGGAGAAATTGCTGAGACCGGATTACGCAAGCGCTTCCGTCAGGAAGAAACTGCCAAGGACAGAGAAACGGACAGTGACGCGTAAAGGGTCAACAAAAGGCAAGCTTGCAATTCTCTGGCACCAGCGCCTGTATTTACAGGTCCAGGTCTTGCGCTTGCACCCGCCCGGCCGGCTCTCGTGCCAGCACCACGCCATCTCCTGCTACGAACTGAACACAGGTCCTTCGTGTCGTCGCCTTTCCAACTTCCCCACGCTTCCTGTCGCGCAACTTCATACCTATGTATGTGGCGTTGAAATAACATGTCACGACATCGGCGACGTTCTTCTTCTAACTTTATCCGAAAGGCGTTACTACAGCAGCAGTTCTCCTCTTCGTCTTCTTCTGCGCGCTCTTCCGGCGGGGTCTTCGGCACTGCCCAAGCGTTGGAGTGGCAACTGAAGCCTGGAACTTCAACCGAGTTAAACATATATGAAGATTTAAAGCGAACAATTGCAAATAAGATTCCCACGAGTCTTCTTGGATGCGGGCTCTGATGACGTCGCCTGATTTCGTGCGCATTGTTGTATCTTGGAAACCATTAGTTTGGCGCAACATTGATTTTTTGGGCACTCAGGATTGTAAGAACTGCAGAAGTAGATCTTAGGAGTATTTTGCATGCTGCGCAATGCCAATAGCTGAGATTCCTCATCGGCACGAGATGTCGCCGCAGCCTCCTTGCATAGAGAAGACAAGCCCATACGCCTTGTACTTCTACGACAACTAAAACATCAGGCCTGCACCTTCTTCACCCATCGCGACCACATGAGGAGAACTCCCTGAGGGAGCACCACTGCATGAGCAATAGCTCTGGGACCTGCGATCATCATTTTTATCTGCTTGCTACATTTGCGCGTTTCTAATGCACTGCACTAGTCCTGACTGCGTCTCGGATCTCTTCCAGGCTCGGCAAGATCAATCTCTCAGCTGCCCGTATTGCTGGTACGTTTCAAGTCGCGTGTTTGCTTCAAATAAGAACTACACAAATCATCTCTCAGCACACTCATGAAACACAGAAGAAGAAACCTCTGCCATCGAATACGGGATTCCTCTGACTGCCGCAGCCGTGACCTGCAATTTTCTTTGCGCTCAATATTCTGAAACATGCACGTTACACAAAAACAAAATCTAAGCACTGCGCCCAACTGTCATTGTCGAGCTTGCTGATCCAGGTGGGCAAGGCCGCACTCATACCGCCTTTGGCGAGATAGACGCATGGCTGACCAACCTGCGCGGTGCCCGGAAAGAAAAGTGAGGCCGGCTTGAGCAAAGAACTGTCCGGTCGCTATGCAAACTTCGAAAACATGTAGTTCAGGAATTGCTGCCCTGGCGCTATCCGTCAAAGCAACAAGTTGTGCCCTATATTCAGACTGCGCAGGCATACCGTCCAGAACTGCCTTGCCTTGACATTATCCGTTAGGGCAGACAGTCCACGTGCTACGCACTCAGGATTTGCAGACAATTTCGGTCGGCAATTACTGCACTGACGCTATCCGGCAATAGAAATATTCCGGGCGCTATGCACCAAGACTGCGAAAGTATCTGGTCGATGCTGCCCTGACGCTATCCGTCCGGGAAAATAATCGGGCGCGCTCTGCGCCCAAGACTGTGACAGCCGCTTGTCGAGGAATTGCTGCCCTGACGCTATCCGTCAGGGCCGACTGTCCAGGTGCTATGCCTGCCAGTGGTCTCGTCATAGTGAGCGCTGGCTGACTCAATGTGTGTATCAAGACGCTGATGGCTCCTCGGCTTCTGCTAACTTGCATTTCATGTCTTTGTTTCTGTCCTCCAGATGCCTTCGCAGACGGCTCAGGACTCTTTCGACCGTACTTGAAGAGACTTGCTGGGGGGTGGAATTCAGTGTGTGCCTTGTTCCGCCTACGCCCAAGCCAATCCCCACAAGGTCCGTAAGCAGTCGAGCATGATCGATGGCGCGAAAGGTGTTCGTCCCCTGCGACCTGCTGCGCAGTGTAGCACCGGAATGTAGCGTGTTCAGTGTTTATTAGGGTTTGAGGATTTAGGCTTTAGATTAAGTTATGTCTCTGGGGAGCCGGAGATTAAGTTGTTTCGCCGGGGAGCTGGGCATCTCTGGGCAAGGCACCATGCCAAGCATCCCATCGTTCAGATCGAAGATCTCCTTCGTCATGGCAACCTTGCCAAAAAGAGCAAGCAACATAACGCCTTCCACGAGGAGGCATTACAGTGGCACCTGCAAGCGAGCATGACAGTTGAGCAGATGCAGGCGTGCCTGCCTCCTGCAGGGAAGGGGCGTGAGGGACGTGTTCCACAGCGCGGCCTTTCCATGATGCAGCACTGCGTGGCTCTGGATGCGCTGCACAGTCCCTTAAGATCTCAGGGGAAAGAGTTCAGGCGTCGATGCAGCACTCTCCGCAGGCAACTCTGGGCGCGGTCGTGCTCGGGTCCTTGAGTCTTGTGTCTTGAGGTAACGTTGCTCTGTGTCTCTTTTTCTCCGGAGGCAGCATCCAGATCTGACACCGCTGCATCATTGCCACAGTCCGATACACTACAACATCTTGGAGGCTTACAGCGATGTATTGTTTTCCCGGGATCGGGAGATGTTCAAGAAGAGAAGGCAGAGGTGACCAATATCTCTGTAGCCCAGGACTGTGAACTTGCAAGCTGTGTTTGTATGGGGCCTCTACCTCTGACAGGACGTTCGTGCCGGCTTCGAACTGGTGCGTTGCCGCTGTCGGGAAGGACTTGTCGGTTCGCAGCTTTGTCCATGCCCACACAGCCCCGAACTTTTCCTGGCTGTGCCTGCATTAGGCTGGATGGGGCCGCCGGCATGGGGATTGGCACTGCTGGGCAGGCTGAAGAGGCTGGGCTGCCAGCAGCTGGTGCCTTTGGGGCGGGGTGGGGGCTGACGGGGCTGACGGGGCTGAACCGGCGTGGGCTTGGCCTTCGCATCGGCCTTGGGATGGGCCTTGCCCGGATTCGAGGATGCCGCGGCCGCCGAGGTACGTCGTTTGGCAGCAGCCCTCTGGCGTCGGTTCTTCTTGCGCCGTTTATTGGACTGGGGGAATGAAATTTCAACTCAGGACTGCTGAGAAACCCAACCAAGAAGCATCGGAATCAAGGCTAAATCCTGAATGAGGCGGCTGTGCCGGGCTCGCGACCTCAGTAGCCACTTCCGTGGACCTGCGAGTCTGAGTCGGATGAGTCGGCGGAGCTCGCCATGGCGGCTACTGGTCCCACACAGTGAAAGGAGGTGAGATGAGAGTTGTGGACTCACTGGTGAGTCTTTAGTGTTTTATGTGATCATTGCGTCAGACATGTGGGCATTGATCCTTGCTACCCTAGACCCTAAACCCTAAACCCAAAACCCTAAACCCTAAACCCTAAACCCTAAACCCTAAACCCTAAATCCCTAAACCCTAAACCCTAAAACCCTTTCATAAATAATTAGGGTTTCGGGTTGAGGGTTTACGCAGACAGTCACTCGGACAGTGTTTAGGGTTTAGGGTAGTCTCGAAGAGGGTTTAGGGTTTAGGGCCAGGGTTTTGAGGGCAACGGGTAAATTGAAGCCACCTGCCATTTTACAAACCCCATCCAACCCACATCAGGTGCTCTGAGCCACAAAGGCAACATAACCTTGTTTCCGGCAACCCCAAGTGAAGCAGGAATCCAGAAGCCTGCCCTGAAGGTGAGGATTCAGATTAGTACTCAGTAGTAGTCAGGGGTGGGTAGATGTTAACCCGAAAACCCTAAACCCTAAGCCCTAAACCCTAATCTAACCGGACCACGAAACCCCAAAGCCCAGAAAGTCAACACCTAGCGGCATTGTCCTGTAGCCACGGCGTTGCCACGGCCACGGCACGACGATGAGAAAAACCTGCAGTGGGCAGCAAAGGAGGGGGAATC